CACCCCCATCCTTGGGACCAGGCAGGGACACACCAGCCATCCCCATCCTTGGGACCAGGCAGGGACACGCCAGCCATCCCCATCCTTGGGACCAGGCAGGGACACACCGGCCATCCCCATCCTTGCTGGGACCAGGCAGGCTGGGCCCGTGAATTCAGGGCCACCTTCCTATGCTATCCCACAGGATCTCTGCAGCCCCACTCGAGACCAGTGGCCTGAGCCATCGCCCAGCCGTGGGATGCTCCTGCAGCCTGCCCTGCTCACCACGGTTTGGCATGGCTGGATGGGCTCCTCTTGGCTTCTCTTTCCTAAACGGCTTCTTCCATCTCCCTCGTCCCACTGCTGCAGGATGAAAGGCTGAGAACGAGCCTGTGAAAATAATTCTCGCTGGCCCTCGGAGCTGGGGCTTGCAAAGCCATGGGGAGCCGGCTTTATTATCCTCAGCTCCAGCCTGAGATGACCTTGTGCTTCTGCCAGCATTTAAACAAAATATTTTACAAGAGAGAACAGATCCCATTGCTTTGTGTGCTCGCAGGGCTTTCCTGAGCCTGCGAGCTGTCTCTGGGGCTGATGGAAGTGATAGAACATGGCCAGAGAGAGACAATGAAATATTGCTCAAGCTGATGGCTTTTTATTATTATTAAAGGGAGGTGCTTACTTCCAGTCTGGAGGGGTTGAAAAATTTGAATCCCACCCAAAACTCACCCCTTCCAGCCAGAATCACAGCTCGGCACTGTGTGGCAAACATTGTCCTCCGGCAGAAGCAGCCACTGCCTGGCTGACCGGGATGGAAAATTCCACGTTGCCGCCGTTCCCCGGGCTGGTGCGAGGCTGCGGGGCAGAGCTCGGGGTCCCTCCCTCCTGCCCGTGGGGCTCAGCCAGGCCCTGCCAGACTGTTGTTTGCATGTTGTCTTTCTGCTCTGAGCTCCTGCCACTGCAGGGAGGGGACCAGGATGTGGGCAGGGTACAGGCAGGACAGGAGATGCAGCACAGTTCTCCCAGTTATCCCACTTCAGTGCATGGACATAAATGGTCACCAGTGCACGAGGTGCACAGAGGGGGCGAGGGAGCCGGGGGATGGAGAACAGTATGAATAAGGACTGCAGCAAGAGGTGACACTGCTCCTCTGTCCCTCACATGAGCATCGCCTGGACCCGTTACCCTGTGCCATGGACTGTTGTCCCCGCAGCGTGCCCCAGCCAGCGTGCAGGCAGGAGGCATTGCAGAGCCCACACCAGCACCGGCCACACTGCTCCCAGCTGGGCTCCATCCTGCTGCTCTCAGCAGAGCAGGGCTGGGATGTGAGGAAGAAGGTGGGAGGGAGGTTTTGCACATCAGCAAGTTCCTCTGCAGCCTCCCCAGGAGCTCACAGAGCCCCAACTCCCAGAGGTGCGGGCCCAGGGCTTGCAGCACCCATAGGTGACCATCTCCTGGGGGACATGGGCTCCAGAGGGACCCTGCTCCTGGTTGCAGCAATGCACACATGGAGCAGAGCTTCCCCTGCCGCGGGCTGGTGCAGCTCAGGGTTATTCTGTTAAACACAAAGAGCAAAGCCCAGTGGTGTGATGGCTCAGCAGTGCCCCATCGCCGCGTCCTGCCTGTCTGACCCACGCCAAGGGGAGGCTGCAAGGGGTGCACCCCACGGCGGGGGGATGCCCTCAGCAGAGCCCAGAGCAGCTGTGACACAGCCAGAAAGAGAGGAGGGAAAAGCAGCTTCAGTATAAACCCCTCGCAGCTGGGTGGGGATCCAGGGAGCCCAAACCCGGCACCTTTCCCCGTGCGGGCAGCGCGGTAACGCGGCACCGTTCTCTCTGCAGGTACATCGGGGCGCTGGGCGCGAGGGTGATCTGCGATAACATCCCCGGGCTGGTGAACAAGCAGAGGCAGCTGTGCCAGAGGTACCCCGACATCATGCAGTCAGTCGGGGAGGGAGCCAAGGAGTGGATCCGGGAATGCCAGCACCAATTCCGGCACCACCGCTGGAACTGCAGCACCTTGGACCGGGACCACACTGTCTTCGGCCGGGTCATGCTGCGAAGTGAGTTCTGCCCCATCCCCTTCCCACCACCACGTGCCTTGTCTCCCTGGGAGAGTCTCTCCTCTCGCTGGCTGCCGTGCCCGGTGGCTTGGATTACTCCCTTAGGAGAGCTTTGCCTTTCCCTGTAAATTAATCAAGCAGTAATGGGAGCGGAGCGCTGCGTTCGGAATAGCTGCACCAGATGAGATGGAGCAGGGGGAGCACTGGGGGAGAAGGGGGAAGGAGGAGACACCTCCAGAGAACAGGCTCGTATGTAAACAGTAATGGGATATATAAATATTTGGAGAGGAGGGTTGGCCAGGACTCAGCAGTTCACGTGGGAGCTGGCTGTTCCCTTGCATGGCAAGGCAGAGCCGCAGCTCCAGTCCTCGCTTCGGGCTCCAAGGTGGAGGAGAACCCTGGCTACGGGGCAGGGCTGGGCTTGGACCCTGCCCGGGAGGGACCTTCCCCCTCCCAGAGAGGGACAGATGCAACAAAGGCAGCGACATGCCCAAGGAGCGAAGAGGAAAGGTGCGATGGGGACAGGGACAGGGACAGTTCCAGAGCAGGAGCAGCATCGAGGGCTCCAGCCACCCTGGGAGGGCTCCGGCAGCGAGCGGGTCCCTGTCCCCTGTGCGAGCCCTGGCTCAGGCAGCGGCACTGTGGGACAGATGCTGCTGCACCCCGTGATGCGACGTGCTGGGGCACATCCAGCCACGCAGCCTCTAAATCAAAGGGAAGAGCCGTTCCACGCCCAGGAGCAGCTCATATGGAGGACATGTGAGCGGAGGGAGCCGGGAAGCGGGGGGCTCGCTCCCAGCTGCCGGGGGGATGTGCGAGCCCTGGCTCAGGCAGCGGCACTGTGGGACAGATGCTGCTGCACCCCGTGATGCGACGTGCTGGGGCACATCCAGCCACGCAGCCTCTAAATCAAAGGGAAGAGCCGTTCCACGCCCAGGAGCAGCTCATATGGAGGACATGTGAGCGGAGGGAGCCGGGAAGCGGGGGGCTCGCTCCCAGCTGCCGGGGGGATGGGGCAGCTGCTCAGCAGGGTGGATGAGCTGCAGAACCTGCAAACCAGACCCCGGAGAGGAGCTGGCGGGAGGGGA